CACAGTACCATATTTTAAAATATATGTTATGTACGTGATTTTAGTAACAAGTATACCTATATCGATGGAAAGCCTTTATTGTACTCATAAAGAATCCCTCTTGGGCTAAATGATTAATATTAAAAGTTCTTTGTAAATTGCCGGTATATTTAATGCGACGACTTGTGAAAAATAAATAAATATGTTTCGTATGCAAACAATTTTTTTTTTTCATTTCTGCATCACTCGATTTATTATTTGAGAATAATATTATCATGATTGTATACCAACACTATACAGTGTGATTATTTTAACAGTAAAAACTCAGTATCTCAAAAAGTAGTTAGGTATTAATATTTATGTAAGTATTTTTCTTACCTAACTTTAAGTCGTTGAAAAAAATATTAACACATAATATTAGAAATATTATTATATGTTTTTACAATTTTTAAGTTTTTTTTTTTTAACGATATAGCTTTCCTAGTCGCACTAAATACAAATTTACCAAGCAAAATGTTGCTCCACTCATTAGCTCATCAAAAAGTTAAAATAATACTGGTGGAAATCTTAAAACTTAAAAGTAGTAAAAATATTATCAGCTTTTATCAAATATGTTGATTGTAGGTTATGATATCAAATTATATAAAAAATGTTTGTAGAAACGTTAATATGTATTTTTCGAGATCACTCTGTATATATGTCAATAGTCAATAAATGTCTATCAACGGTGTTCTGCAACACAAATACACAACAGAACCGTGAACTCACAGAGTACAATAATTAATAATAATTCGCAGCCGGAGTGTTGTTAGAGTATTTTTAAATTATATTATATTTATATACAAACACAAGTCCACAAAGTGAGAGTGGTGTGATGAATTTCTAGATCAGGCCAATGCCTTATACTGTATATATAATATAATATATAAACACGCAATGATGACTATCGTCACTGCCGCTGAGTGAGAAAAAAAAACAACAAAACAGACAATTGTATATTCGATTCCCTTTGAGTGCAAGGTAATATTACTGCAAGGACCTGCGGGCCTTTGAAAATTCAAATCGCAACATTAAAATTCAAGTCGAATTCGTAATGTAAATAACTACGCAGAGCTGTATATATTATAATAAATTATTAGGTGTAATTTATATATATATATATACACACACAGAGAGATTCTCTCGCAGAAACATAACTAAAAACGTGTACCTAAATATATATTATAATATATACGCGAGATCAGATCGCTTCATTAGGACAATAATATATCTTGAGTATATTCTATATAATATATATTAAAGGCACTTAATGAGTGATTTTTTCGACATTTTGCAGGAGACCGAAAACAAAATTACATTTTATGCTCACAAATCACCATATAAGTATAATACTTTTAAATGTATCTTATGACAAAATATAATATGCATAATATATGTATTGAAACACTTAATTAATTTTTTTTACCAAATTATTAAAAACTATAAGCTATTAAAAATTTTAGTTTTGAAGTGTGTAGTTATCAATTATGATTTTTAATAAAACTTAATGCATATAATTAAAAGTTAGTTTTAAAAGATCAATTTAATTTTTAATATTTTGTTAATTCGAAAAAATTCGGAATTTTTATAACATTTGATTTAAGTATAAAATCAGCTGGTAGACGAGATAAAGACATGATAACTGCGCTATGGTACGTTTAAAAATTATAAATAAGAAAGAAGAATATTATAAGAATCACAAAACTGCAAAATATTTCCCAGGATCCGCTCTGTTGCAATCGCATTCTGAGTTTTTTGGCAATGATTGGGACGGTACTATTTTTTGTAACACTCAAAGCATTACAGGACTACAGTTGCTCTAATAAAAAAACAGCACACTATCGCCAGTCGTCACTACCTATTGGCTATTACTACATTTTTTTAATTATTGCTTCCAAGTTTCAACGTTATTATCTAAAATTTAAATGTAGCATGGTACATTTGAACATCATTATTTTTTAAATTGTCTTGAACTTTAAATAATCAAACAATTCCAACGGCAAATTAAGTTAAATATCTTGGTCTAAATCTAGATGAACTACTAATCTAGAGCCTTTATATAAAACTCAATCATAAAACTGTGAACCCTAGACTTCACCTCCTAAGACCATTCTTGAAATCCAAACTCTCCCTATCCAATAAACTTACCAAATTCCTGTCAATAAATCGACTAGTTTGGACATAAGGCGATACCTATTCAGTTATTGGGCTCTGAAAAGTCACACTGCAATACCAAAACGCTTCAGGCGTTTCAACTTTCAATACAACATCCTACGACGAGTAAGTAGTAGGTAACTTCTTGGCACTTTACAAATAATAATCTTCACGAAGACTTAAAAATTCCTACAATTAATCAATTAGAAAAATTATATTACTTTATTCAATTACATACTAACTTAAACTGTCACAGTAACCCCTTAATCAAACAACTATTATCCACCTCACTCCCTACGCGTAGAAGATTCAAAAGATAGTGCCCGAGAGACCTACTAAAAAAAAAATACACAACAATACCTAAAAAGTACAACTGATTACTGAATGCCTGACCATAAATAATGAATTCCCGTCACTAACCATTATTAACTACCAAATTTGCTTATTTTAATAATTAATAATTACCAATGTTGTATAGGTTGTAAATAATTTTAATAAAAGAAAAATATTGTCTTGAATTGATTTTAGTTGTAATAAAAATTGTATTAATATCAATATCATATCATATTTTCAATGGTTATTAAAAATACACTCATCAATATAAAAATATCGTTCAACAGTTTTGTCACGAAAAGTTGTATAATGAACCTATATTATCTTGCATTCTATAAACAGTGTGCTTTATAGAGTAACCATTTTGAAATTTAAAAGTTCATTTGATCCATAGGCGGACATCGAGATATTGCGGACAAATATTTTAATAGACCTCACGAAATCGAAACTTAATTCGAAATTTTATTATTGATATTATTTGTTTCAATAATTATTATCTGTTATTTTTTTTTCGAAAATTAGCTCCAAAACCAAACAGTATTCCCTAATTTGCAAAAACTATTTACCATAGCATTAACGATACCTATCAGTTCAGCAACTTGCGAAAGAAGTTTCAGTGCAATGAAAAATATAAAAACTTGGCTAAGGACATCGATGCTTCAAGATAGATTCAGCAATCTTTCTATTCTATATATTGAAAAAGAGATGTCCAAAAATATTAATAGCAATGATATTTTAAATATCTTTGTTGATAAAAACGATATTTGTTATTAAAATAAAATTAATTATTAATTATTTTAAAATATATTATGTTATTTTTTTTTTTTTATTATAACAAACATTTATATTTGTATTAGTAATATTATATACTTATGTATAGGAAGAGAGTGCGGGGGCGAAGCCCCTGCGAGTCACTTTACATTTGATTGTTAATGCCCCCCTAAAAATTTAACCAAATGTCCGCCTATATGATTTAATCACAAATCATTATTTTAATTATCATCGAGTAAGTACCTATTTCCTACGCTGGACTTAGGGTAAATTGTTAGAGTTGTAGGTATAGTATTTCATTATACCTGCGTTGCATGTACATCGACCTACTATAACAGTGTATAAACGACTTGCGAGGCTACGTTAATTGCTAAAATTTAAGTAGCCCGGTGACAATTAGCGCACTACTCCTGAACACTGGTTTATGGTAGGTACTAGGTAGGCACAGCCTTTAACATAGCCCATGGGTAAGCAGAATTTCCAACCACCAAGATTCTAATGAGAAAAAGTATAGGTCGTAGTCAGTAGATATACTCAAACAGCCACTAGAACTAACCACCAAGGCACCAAGTTTCCCACGGCCATCAAAATGCCTCCACACCCCTCTCACTCCTACTAATCAATTATGTATTTACCTTGGACAAATTGTTAGGTGCATGGAATTTACTCATTTATCGAACAGAACAGCTCACAAAGTCCAAAAAGTGAAAATTTTTAAGTTCTAAAAGCTGAATTATAAATAAAGAGTTAAGAGGTAGGTAACCAATGAATGACATTAGGAATATTATTTCAATGGACGCTCGGCAGGACAGAGGGCGCTGCGTATAAATTTATAATCAACGTCGATGTTTAAACATTTTAATAACAATATTAAAGCGAATTTTACAGCGTTTTTAATAATAGTAATACAATAATCAATGTTTGGCAAGCTCCTTGTAAAAAGAAATTCGTTCAGCTCCTTATTCATTAAAAAAAAGGATTATTTCCCTTGTCGCTACTTTGAAAAATGAACGAGTTCCTTTTTTAGTTCCAAATGAAATAAAAATTCTTATTTAATCATCGATGTGTTTTTTAATATACATATATACCTACTTAGGAACTTTTTAATTATATTTAGATATACTATATACATACGATATACATATACTTATAAGTACATTTATTATTTACTATTTAATTTAAGAATATAATATTGAATATATTTTTTTCTTTTATTTATCTAAGTTAATTATTTTTTAAATAATAAAAATTAATATTATATAATAAGACTAACTTCGATACTCGATAACGATCGTCGATCACCAATTGGCAACAAACACTAATACACAATAGCAAAAAATATTTTAATTTAAATTATTTATAAATCTGTGTAAATTGGAACTCGAAAGGAACTAAAAATGTTGTTATTTTTTCTTAAAAAAAGAACTCGATCATTTTCTCTTTCTCCTTTTATAATAATGAATTTGTTCCTTCCAAAAGACCAACCACTGATAATAATTCCATAGAACACAATACCCACTACATAAATTATTATCTCCCATGCGGCTACGCGAGTTACACCTTCCACCACTATCACAGGCCAAAATTGAGCGCCAACATCCGGCCGGACGATAACGACCTTGACGGTCCACTCTCCGCGCTTTTAACAATCCAAATATATCGTTGAGATTATTATTATCATTTATATTTTATCATCACCGCTGCAAATATTGTCGTCTCGTTATCTACACTCGGCCCTAATCTAACCTAACGACTCACGTCTAGTCCACATATTCTATTCTCCCTCTTCACAGTTGCGCAGTGCCTATATATATTTTATGCTCGTCGTTCATGGTTCACACTACTTCACAGTGCTCACTGCTCACTCGAGATTGAAACCTTCTCTGCTCCTCTTCCTTATTGTCATTCAATTTAAATATCTTTTCGATTCAACCATGCGTTTGGGTACAGTCGTTCCGGACTTCTCTGCTGTCACTACCAAAGGTCCGATCAATTTCTACGAATGGGTCGGTGAATCGTGAGTACTCAATCAATCTATATTATTTCACATAATTATTTGTTTATTTACATTAATTATATTAAGTGTCATCGCGTCACGATAAATATCTTCATAATAATAACACTTTGATAATTATACAGCCTACTGCAAATTATAAATATTATTAATTCATTCATTATACGTTTGATGTTTTGTATTGGATTTTTTTTTAATACCTTTATTCCTATTTTTAATTTAGATGGTGCGTTTTATTTTCTCATCCTTCTGATTTCACACCGGTCTGCACCACTGAGTTAGGTAAAATGGCCGTGCTGGTAGACGAATTCACAAAACGCAGTGTCAAAGTCTTGGGTTTGTCTTGTGATAAGTTGGAAAGCCACGTCGATTGGATAAATGTAATGACTTAACTTTTAACTGTGTTTCTATATTATCCGTTATGATCCTAAATTGATGACAGTTTATCATTTTCAGGACATTAAATCATATTGTCTGGACATCAAGGGAGAATTCCCATATCCCATTATTAGTGACAGCACTCGAGACTTGGCTGTACAACTAGATATGATCTCTGAGGAAGACAAGGACAATGTTGAGTTGGCATTAACCATTCGATCTCTTTACATTATTGGACCCGACAAGAAGGTTAAATTGATGATGGTTTATCCAACCAGTACTGGCCGTAATATTCAGTAAGTCATGTTTGAATTCAAGAGTTCAAATGTTTCTGTTAAATAAATAATGTCAATAATAACTTTTAAACATTTCCTAGTTTCTCATTATTGAAACTGCTAGATATTATAAATTATTTCCAACAAACAATACATTTTAAAATACATTAACTTATAAACATAACATTATCAAACATTCATACACACCTAAGTCTCATATCCTAATTCCATTGTAAAAAAAAATTCAACTAATATTTCTATTTGATATGGTAAAAATATTGTAATCTTTCAAATGTATTTTTGATAAGTTTTCATAAAGTTAAATTATTTTCAATTTATAACACCAATATAAACTTAATAATTATGAACCTACTTAAAACTCAAACATATTTTTACTTTTATAGAGAAATTTTACGTTGCATTGATTCACTTCAGTTGTGCGATAGAAAAAATACCATTGCTACACCCGCAAATTGGGTGGTAAGTAAATAATTTGTAATTTTTTTTATGAAATTAATCCAATCTAAAATAAACTTTTATTCATACTAGCCTGGTGAAAAAGTTATGATCCTGCCAACAGTAAAAGATGAAGACCTCGATGCACTCTTTCCAAATGGTTATGAAAAACGCTCAATGCCTTCTTCAGTTGATTACTTGAGAACAACTACCGATTATTAAAATACGTCATTGTGTGAGTCTATTACACACATTTATTTAAAAGAGATTTATTTTTTTAAATAAATTATAATTTGTTAAAACTTTAGTTTATCATATTAACTGATTATACAGTTATATTATTTATTAATAATTATACATACCACATCAATAATTTTTACAAACACAGTTTTATTTATTTTTGTATATTGTGTACATCATATTTATAATATTATATTATCATTAAGACTAAAATAAAATGCCAATATTAGACAAATATCTCAAATTGTTTTACCTCTACTACTTCTTAATACCCTCTTCACTGTAACAAACCCAATAATTGATAATATTAATAAAAAAGTAATGTATATATTTATGCACTATTTATTCAAGTGTTATAAAATCTGTATATTATTTTTAAGCCAATTAGCTAATTGATTTATTTATGCAAAACTATACATATTTTTTTAATTTGTCTAATTTCTATGATATTTTAACATTTTTATATTGTATTTGTGAAATTGGCATCATATTTTGGACAGCTGAGATCCTGTAAAATAATTTGGGGACTTGGTATTATACCTAAGGTATAAATACAGCAACCTTTGCCTATAGTTTAAGATTGCGTATTATAAAATATATATTTATTTGTATACCTTAATATGATAAGAGACATGTCGTAGCAGCTCTTATTTTACTCATAAGTGCATAACAAAGTTCTCTGTTGTTTCATTACAATAATGAATTCACCTACTATTCAGTTTTAAAGCAAGAATATTATTTAGGGCCTATCCCATGTAATTTTTTTTTGATATTTTAATTTTAAGCAAATTACAAAAAAATTATTTGAAACAGTATATACGAAGTTGTAAGATCAGAGTATATGATAAAATCAAGAATAACAATGACATGTAAAACATGAGGGCAGAAATTGCCTATTGGTGACACTGCCTAATGTTGATTAACTTAACAATTTGGTAAATATAATTTTTTTTTTAAATAATTTCAATAACATGATCAATACACTAGTGATAGAATGATAATTGACAAAATGAGGAAACATTAAAATTAAAATACAATATAAAGCCTACATGGTGCCCTACATAATATTGAATATTTTTACCAAAAATAATAACAATTATGTAATATTATATGTATAACATAATAAAATATTCTAACCTTCTTTTCAAAGGGTCAAATTACTCTAATATTAAAAACAATGGTGTAAAGTGGATTGTTCTGAACAAACAACTATTGTCAATTTGTTATGTTGTGGAGAGTGCAGCATTAGTTGAACCAAGACAAAACAACGGGTACTAGATAAGGTTATAGATGGGTAATTTTTTACCCAGGGTGTGTTACTAAATGCATGATACATAATATACCTTGTTAACTGCACATTATTAAGGAAACAAAATATATACATACATTTTTTTATTTTGAAAAATGTTCAATCTGTATTGGACAACATAATGAGTAAAAAAGATTACTGACATAACACATATGTAAAAAAAAAAGAAACTACTCGCGAAGCACATTATGAGGGAAATCATCCAGCGGTGGTGCCCTCTGGTAATTTTGTTTTATTCATATTAATTTCATAGGTCACGGCACCGATTCCTTTTGAGGTGCCGAGGAGGGTTGTCAGGAAGAGTATGTGATGATAGGTGGGATACCAGAGAATTGGGGTGGTGTTGCAGCTTAAAGTGAAATCTGTTTTAGTATAATTTGGCTAGTTGGTCAACTACACATTTATTTAAATAAAACTATTTAACTTATTACTTTTTACTATTACCTACTTATTTATACAGGCATATGGCATACAGTAATGAGTATTAGTGTATTTAGATAAGTAATAATAAAATGTTCTTAATTATTTAAATTATTTGTTTGATAATTATTAAACAAGTAAATTGTATATTCCTTTACGTATATTAAACCAAGATTGTTTCTATGAATACAAAAACATTTTCAATTTAAAACTGTAAAAATAACTTAACTCGGAAAAACAAAATAAAATACAGAAATGTTATATTGAATTATATAACTATAAATATATACCTATTTAATATTTTATGAACTACCATAATATTTGTTTATTCAAACAAATAATATATTAAAAATTAAAAATTTATTCTGATTTTCAAAAAGAGTAAATGAAATATGATTCATAACACCTGTAATTGTTTTTAGTGTTCTTGTATAATACTAAGTTTTCAAAAATAAATTGTTAAAAAATATAAAACAACCTACATCAGCCCATTTTGTTATAATATAAACAAATTAAAAAATGAAAAAAATGTGTAGGTACAGTTTATTTAAATGCAAAAATAATTTATTCTAAATATTTGATTTTGATTTATTCAAGTCCTTCCAGTTGGGGAATGAAAACGTATAACTAAAGAAAAAAAAGAAAAACTACAGAAGAAAGATTTAAACAACTATTCAATGACCCTGTATTTTACAATTAAGGTATTTATCTGAAAAAAATAACTATTATGAAATAATTTATTATTATTGATTTTGTTTATAGAATGGTTAATTTAATACTCAACAATAACTTTTTCTGTACAATTTTTGTTTTGTAAAATATGTGGACTTATTTTAGAAACCTATTTGAATTAATAAGAAAAACTGACCAATTCGGACTGCAGATATTGGTGATTGTTCGATGCCAAAGATGGGAATGAAAAAAAAAATATCAAAATTATTAAAGATGAATAAAATTTAATATTTATTACAATGATATTATATAACGGACAACTATTGTAAACAAATGGTTTTAGTAAAATAGTTTTTAACTAAGAAAAACATAGTCATAACTTATAATACTCCTAATTACATAATACATCCTACTGCTGCTGTACAATTTGACTAACAACTAAGAATAGCTTATAGCTATCAATATTAAATATTATTACTGCCTTATAATAGTACGTATTGAAAATTAGCCATTAAATTTAAAATTTGAAAATCAAAAGAACAAATTATGATTTCTTTATTTGAATGTTGTACCCCATTTTTATTTTAGCTTCTTGATTTATGTAAGCTTTCATTTACATTTGAATTAATATTAATTATTCAAACTGTGCTAGAGAGAAAGTTGTGGATGATATTATATTCCACAATCTATTCCTGGACACTAGTTATTAACTAATGGTTATCAAAAGTCTGGAGTTCTGGACGACGACTAGACATCAATAAAAATTGCATCTTCGGTTAGTAGTTCATACTGAGAACTTATTGGCAATTACCTACACGGTTCTTTTGAAGAAGGATCACAAGTAGATGTCATCTTTACCGACTTTGCTAAGGCGTTTGATTCAGTTAACCACGAGGACCTTATTTCTATACTTCGTGCTTTTGGCGATCTATCCTATCTTGGTTCAACTCGTTTTCATTAAATAGATCTCAATGGGTTAATATGTTCAACTCAAAATCAGATAAATTTCTTTCTACCTGCTCTGGTGTGAAGGTGGACATCTATTCCCACTTCTATTCTCTTTGTTAACAGCGCTCGAACCTACCTCGAGCATAGCCAATTTCTCTGTTTCATTGATGACATAAAGATTTTCCATAAATTTAACTCTGTCGATAATTGTCTCAAACTCCAGGACGATCTTAATAGTTTCTCTGTGTGCCCTGAAACTCTCAGTCTTTCATTAAATATTAAAAAATGTCTGTAAGTCAATGACTTTCACTAGAAGTCGCTCTCCTATTACTTGCTCTTACACTTTGAATGGCTCTAATTTAATTCCTGTCAATTCTAACATATGTGATCGTGGTTATATTTTTACTTCTACTTCCACTCTTTGTCTTCGCTCCTACATCGATAAAATAACTTGCAAATATCTAAAAATACTGGGTTTCGTTAAAACAATAATTGGGGATTTTAAACTCACCATCTCTCAAAATCCATATATTGCGCACTTGTACGACCTATCGTTAAATATGGCTCAATGCTCAGTTGTATGGGATATTGGGATCCTCAACAGCTGATGTCTGTATACAACTTGAACGGGTTCAAAATAAATTCTTATGCTTTACGAAACGCGTCTTGAATATGAATTGCGCCCCTCATGAGTATACTTCCCTTCTCCGTTTGCCATCGTCTTAACATATCCTCTTTAGCAGACCATCGCCGATCACATAATCTTGCTTTTTTTAATAAGCTGTTATCAGGCTCTGTCAACTACCCTTCCTTTCTTGCTCTAATCAACTTTAAAGTTCCTATTAGATGCACCCGCAACACACATAATTTCTTTATCCAACGTTGCCCTACAAATTATTTAAAAAACGATTAGGTACCCTATTCTTTGTATGAAAAAGTTGGCCAATGAGGATCTGTCATTTCTTCCACAGAATTATTACAACTATGTTTACTATCTTATTATATTTTGTATTTTACTATCTATTACACTTTTTCTTATGTTCCACACTTATAATATGTACCTATATTGTACTATTTTGTAAACATAATACACCATAGTTGTAACTTGTAACCTGGGCTCGCGCCTGTTTACCTTTAATAATAATAATAAAATGTATGATCATCGAAATAGATAAACAATACTGGAGCGCGTATTGAGATACTGAAAACGAGCCAAGTTTTTAAACGCTTCCCCCACCACTGCAGGACAAGAAAATATAATACTGCTAAGTAAATATGACTATTCTGTACTAAACAGTAAACATAGACAATGATAATACAGTAAACAACGAATTTTAGTTCAAGTTGAATTAAGATTGTGTTTAATTGCTTAATGCTTACGATTCCATTTAAAAATATATATAATTTTATATAATTTTAATTCTTTATGTTAAAGATGTTAATGCAAAGGAAGTATTTAAAAATAAAGAAATTTGAATTATTTTCTCTGCGGGCCAAGTTATCGGTGCTGTCCATCATTTATGTGAATATAAATATAACAACATTAACAACTATTGATTAGAAAAATTAAGAGTATAATAGTGTACACATGTATACTGGAAAATTAAATAATATGTTTTTATTTTCTTAAAATAATGTTTACCCGTATTGCCATATAGTCCTATAACGTTTCTGTTTAATTATAATATATAAAAGCATATTTTCTGGGAATAAGCTATTCAAATATACCTAACTCTTAAATTGTTTCACACATTTTATAGGTAGATAGTCATACTAATATTTGTCATTTTAATACCTATTGAAATTTCATAATTTTCAGAAATAATGTGAAAAACTCCGGCAGTATTTAGAACGAAAGAATAATATATAACATAAATAATATTAAGTTATTCAGGCAATTATTATTCTTTTTTTTTATATATATATAAATAAATTGTAAAAATCAAAATTTAATTTTAAATCAATTGATATAAGAAAAAATTAATTAATTAACGTGACTTTAAAATAAATGAACTCGTTAAGTTAGAAGTTGCTTTTGAAAATAAAAATAACTCGTTAAGTAACTTAGTTACTGATAAAAGAAATAATGACTTGGACGCCAACAGGAAAAAGACCAAGGGGAAGACCCCGAAGAAGATGCATAGACAGCGTAAATGAAATATGGAATGCGGTAGGCCAAGAAGTTAGGACGAATTGGCAAATCATAGCGCAAGATAGAGAGAAATGGGAGGAAATAGTTTTGGTGGTAAAGATCCTCAATGGATCGTAAAGCCTAAAAAAAAAAGTAACTTAGTTAAAAGTAACTTAACTTTAACTTTTTAACTCGTTATTGCCCAGCCTTGATAAACACGATAAATGTCTATATTATTGTATTTATTTCAATTATTCGTTTTGTGTAATTTTGTACCTATTTATTTTTCTGTTTAAAACTATATCGCTGTATAGTAGGCTTGTTGACAAGTTCAAATAGTTTTTAATTTTTAGAATCGGAGGAGTGAAAGTACTCAAATTGTTATGAGTTAAACGCAAGTGTGGCACTAGTTTTTTTGCCCTGCAGAGGGGGGGGGGAACGTTCAAGACATGGCTCGTTTTCGTATCACAAATGATATTGGTAAGAGCGCGCTCCAGTATTGTTTATCTATCTCGATGTGTATGATCTATAACATAAATTGAATAAATTGTTTTTATACTATAAAAAAAGTAATGATAATGATTAAAGCTTGTGATCAATTATCAGTAGTCTGCACAGGTAACTATTAGAATGGCTAAATCCTTAAATCTTAATCGATGACAAAAGCTATTGCTGAAGGCTAATTAGTGATTTATAGCAAAGGATTGCCAATTGGATTACTAGACCACCGACGAATAAAATAAACAATATTGCAATGTAATTACCTAAATTATAGGTAGGTGTGTTATTATTGAATGTTATATTTTCTTTTAAGTTTTAACTGCATTTGCTAACAACTAATAAATAATAATCTATATAAAATATATTCAATATATTTAATATTTAAAATCTCAGTTATCGTCGCCGATATACAACCGGCTCTTTCTGGATGGGTCAACAATATGCTCGGTCCAAACAGGAGTTCTAACAATCGGCTATATTGATTTCATGAGACGCATGTATATTTTTTGCTAATTCCGATAAGACTGCATCCAGTATTGTGTCTGAGCAGTACATCAACAATGTCGTGTTAGGGCGTGATAGTAGATTCAAAACCTAGGTACTATAAAATGGTATAGGTAAACCATAAAGCGTCGCGAGTGGCATGTTTCACACTTTCACAGTGACGAGTAATTGTCTAAATGTCTAATATTATAATCTACACAGGTAACTACTTATTATATTATATTGCACAGTAAAGACATTTTTACTTTTTAGTTGCTACCTACTCTATTCCTTTATAGTGAGTTGATTTGAATTTAAATTGCTTACCTATCGGATTGTAGTCAGTGTTGTGCTAATTTCAAGCCTACTTATAATCATTTTGATATCGATTGAGATAACTATATTCATAAAGAGTGATTCTTTCAATTTTTAATATTGGGATAACAATCATTAACCCAGAAAGTATCAACACTTTTAATAATGTTTTGAATTTAATACAAACCAATATTTTTGGTAAAAACATTATATTTATTTTTTAGTATTGTTTAAGTTACTAAGTAGCGGTGTGGAGTGACAGCCGACAAAGGGGTAGGTAGGTCCCCGATGAAATGTCTGTCCACTTGGTAGGTAATTCACTCATTTAAACATTAAATATTATAACAAAACTAAGTACTAACTAACTATTTGTTCAATATAATTGCTATGTATCAAACTGAAAATTCTCAAAAAAATATTCTGCTTTAGAATCTGAAATTAAAAATGTATGCTGTCATTAAAATATTTCAAAAAACCATAATAATGATAAAAATAGTAAAGTAGTTGTATAATTTTTTTTCAAAAATGTTGTCTTGCAATACATAATATAGACACCATTCACAGTATAACTACGGTATCGTGTATATTATTACTTATTAAGCATAGAGGGGTGACTATTGAATAATACATAATAATACTCTATATAAGTATAAATATAAATGTGTGTGTATAAATTTATGTTGTAAAGTCAGTCTATAATCTATACAATATCATAATGCATAATATTATAAAACAAAATATTAATAATATAAATTCGAATATGTATTTTTAGTTCGATCACTAACTTACGTACATAATTATATAATAATATTATATCGTGATAGGCTGCACGTATTATGTATGAGGTATATACCCTATACATGGGTGTACATATTTTTGACGATTCTCGCACATTCCTCCGGCCAACTAAACTAAGTTCGACAAATATTATCAACGCGGTGGAATAAGATTATAATATAAGTACAATATAATATCGTTTAAAATATTTGAATGTACATATATATAATTATTGTATTTTATTAAATTATATTATTATAACTTGCGAAGGCCGATGCGTTTCGAATAGGAATAATATAATATATATATATATATATATATATATATATTATGGTGATACATATCAGCTGCTGCAGGTGTAGGTATTTGGGTGGATGAGTATAATTTCCTCCGTGGACTACACCGGTTCGAGCTTAAAGTGTTCGGCAATCTCCTTGAGCGTTTTATTTTCGGTTTCAGGCAGACGAAAGTAGAAGTACACGAGCCCAATGAGTCCCACGCCCCCGAACAGCACGAAGGTGTTGTAGAAGCCGATAAACCTCTCGAGGTCCATGTAGAACTTGGTCATGAAGAAGCTGAGGAAGAAATACACCGCGGAACATATGCTGCAACCCAGGTTTTTACTTCTGGAATAAAATAATGCAAAACACGCATTTGTTGAGTACATTGTAATGGTTCATCAATCTAAGGTTAGAGTCCGCCTGAAATAAGCTGGGAATTCGGAGTTTTTTGGTTTTACTGAAACTTCCAAATTCCTAATCACTTATGGCTTAAATGCTAACAATTACTATTTTAATATTATATACTATATCTGTCTTGATATGAAAGACAATTCAATTTCAGCCATTTCTTTACGAAAACATACCCATTTTGTCTATCTCACCCATACAATTAGAAGTGCGATGATAAATGTTTGAATTCGTTATAACATGAAGTTTACTTGAAATTGATCATCTACATTTTTTAAAATTATTCTCTAATTATTTTCCCCTCAAATTTAAATTTAAAATTAAAAAATCGTAAATTTTTTTAAACATTAATATGGTTTTAAAAATAAATTCAAATAAATGCGATGATCGATGTACAAGTGTGTAATATATTATTATTTTGTGCGTACTTCATCGGGAACACTTCGCTCATGAGGATCCATCCGATCGGCATTATGCCCAGCGACGAGGATAACGTTGATCCGAAGAACAGGGCCAATTTCACCCAGGACGTGTGCTCAGAGTTGACGTAGAACTGTCCGACGAAACCAATGAGTAAGTACGATATTGAACAGACGGTTATGGTCGACAGTACAAGGCATCTCTTGCCTAGCCGGTGCACCAACAGGATGGTGAACACGTTGCCGATGATGCTGAAGCCAGGGTATGCTGACTGTACCGGACCAAAAATAATAAATAGGTAATAGAAAAATAACATAGTTCAAATAATAATAAGAATAAAATAGTTATATGTCTAAGATTTTTGTAAAATGTGGAATTTGTGATAAAAGTAACTGTTAATTAGTATGATTACTGGACAAATTTAAACCACGGCTATTGTTTAATACTTAAATGAAAATTAACAGTGGCGAAGCTTCTTAGCCCATAGGAGATAATGAAACAATGCCTACCCACTTAGAATATGGACAAATAATTTGGTTTTATTATATTTAGATGAAATATATTTTTTTACAAATTATTTTGATGTACGAAGTAATAATTCCAGGCCATGTCTAATTTCCTACCTAGTAAAATGTTAGACACATGCCACATGAATGGTAATTTTAAGAAGATGCTAAACACCCACATGTAGTCTTGTTATATAAACGTACAATGTAGCAAATTTGTGTTCATCTGAATCCATTTTGTGTCGTAGTTTGAGTAATAAAATGAATAAAGTGATATTAGCCATTTGTCACATTTAACTGTATATATATTAGGTTATAGGTTGGCGATGACGGATCTAGGACATTTCGTAGGCTTTTATTGATATTTAAATTTTAAATTGAGTAATTTATCATGTGAAGTATTACAATTTTTAAATGCGCTTATAACTTGTTTTTAAATTTAAATATCAATAAAATCCTATGAGATTTCCTAGATAATATTTTCACCTTTAAGTTTGACAGCAGTTGAAAACATCCCTATATTATTTAAAATAACTATACTAAAAGAATTCTGCTGAACATAAATGTTGTATGTTTGTAACAAGGTGACCCATAGGTACTGATTTAACGTCTTCTTAACAGGGATGGAGATTAGGAATGGTATATGGACTAAATAGGTACACTCTTCTCCAGTTCTCTACTTATTTTTAGACTATTAATTATTTTGTCAGCTATACAATCTGGTTGTATAAATTGTATTTCATCTTTTTATTATTATTTGGTAATAATCATAACTAAGAAAAATATAATTAAAATCATTTTTAACCTATTAAACTAATATTATGTTAGGTACTTATACTCATGGGATGCGTAGGACATTTTTTTTATTTATGTGAAGGCGTGGACCAAAGTAGTTTGGGAAAATGGGAATGAACCACTTGTATGCAGGTGTAATATACGGCCGTATGGAATTACTTACTTATTACTTACCATTGCCCATGCAGGCTCTACTTTTGTTTTGAATGAACTGAAGACGTGCATCAGATACGGCGCATAAGGTACGCCGGACATGACGTTTGAGAAAAATATGTAGACCAACATGAGTTTGAGCGGATTCCACAGTCCCGGATGTGAAAAGCTACCCAGAGCCGAAGGTTTTTTTTTTGCTTCTTCTGCAAAAAACATTGACGAAATATTATTGTATTATATTCTGAAAACGTGCATAAGTGCATAAGTGAATTATTGGACTGAACAGAATACATTGAAAAAAAAATTAATTAAATTAAATTTTTAAATTTTTAAAATTCTACTTAGCTCTAGTTTAGACAATTTTGGGTTTAGGACACAAGTTGATGCATCAAAATGGCTTGAAAAAAATCGATGAACCCGAATATGATATTAAAATTACGGGTTGCCATTTAAAAAAATGTAAGTTTTATTGCGCATGCGCAAGATACAAGAGTTAAAAACATTGTAAGTCATAGAAATTTACAATCCATTAGTCTAGTTTAATGTCCCGCAAACAAAATTGAAAAATATTTACATGGTAATGAGTGGTAAAGTGGCCCCTGATTTTTGGGACACACGGTATATAATATGAGCAGATTACAATCGATATGGTCCTTATAAGAACAAAGGCCCAATTCCTACTTTCACTTTTTTCAAGAGACGAAGTAAGCATGTTTAGGTTTTTATTTTATTTATATCATGAATTCCAACAAAGATATTATTAATTTAAAATCCGCTAAGTATTCATATAATTTTTAAACTTAAATAACTTTTATTATATTAATTAAAGAAAAACCCTACAATACAAAAATGAATGCTTTATCATGCAAAATTTGATTCATCGACTATGACTGTAGCTTAAGTAGTCTATGATCATTCAAAACAATATATTGTATAGGTGTTTGGCCTCTTAATACTATTCAAAATCATTAATTAAAAATCATATTTTGTAGTTTAGAAAAAGTACAGGTATTATACGTATTTTTAAAACTACCAAATTGAGCTCATACACTTATATGAGACTTAAACTATTGGTGTTTCAATTATTTATTTATTATACTTCTCTAACCTAACGATCGAATTTGCTGATTTACATGTGTTATGTAACGCGTACAAGGATGATTTTATGCTGTCATAACTTAGACGTAGGACTAAATCGACACGGAATCGACCAATAATATGGTATTTACCCGATTTAGCTGATAGAGAAACGTATTGAACCATTTCCTGGAATTCTGTGGAGCATTTCTCTTCGCTCACATATCCCCGAAGCTTCATTAAGACCTTTCTCGCCTTGTCCGTTTTCCCTCTGGACAACAGCCACATCGGCGAGTCGGGAGTCTGCGAAAAGAAAAATAATGTACACCCCTCTGTTAATGTTATCAGTTGTCTATTTAAGTATAATCAGCTGTAGATACATATTATATACGATGAGATTCGAGTAATGGAAGACACTTGTGTTTCTCATATTAGAAGTGTTAAATTAATCCCTTATTGTAATTATTATTGTATTAGTTCAATGCCTCAATTTCCGTACTCCCCACAAACAAATTAAAAGCAGCAAAATTTGTGGAACTGTAATTTGGATTGTTACATAAAATGAAAACAGTGAAACAATAATGTATTATCGAATGTATTAAAAATGTGCTTTTTGCAGCAGGAGACGTATAGTGTAGAGTTTGTAATTGAAAAAAATATATTTTTGATAAGCTGGAATATAATTTTTGAAAAAAGAAGAGTTAGTAAAATATTGTCAACCAAATTTCGTTCTATCTCAAAGAATTTAAAAAAAAAAACTCGAAACCATAGCAGATGGGGAGGGAGGAACTGGTATTTTTTATGTGGACTATAGACGACGATAGTAGGTAACTCACCAGCGACAGTGTGACCATGTTGGCCAGGGGCACGGCCACAGTGATAATCAACGACCGTCTCCAGCTCTCGGTGATGGCGTATGTGGTGGAGACGAAAAAGAATCCAACGAAGTAGAACACGTTCAAGGCAGACGTCAACGAGCCCCGGAGCTTAGGCTCACACACCTCACCACTGTACGATATGCTCAGGCCGGTGGCAAAACCCGTGCTCAAGCCCATCAGCATCGAGCACGAGTACAGAGTGGACACCGTGATCGGGAAAAGGACCACGACCAGCACGGACGATAGCTGAATGAGATTGGTGAGCGCCATGCATGCACTGTGGCCAAGCCGTGCCTGGACAAGCGACAAGAAAAGGCTGCCAATGGGTGGTGACAAGTACACCAGACTTCCTGTGGCAATACATAATAATAATAAACATAGTATAATATTGTAATATAGGCACAAAATATTATTATCATTGTAAGTACTTGTAGGCTGTAGCCTATAGGTACTGCAACTGCTACGAATTTTTCAGGTCAAAAGTTTTATGGCTGTTATTACCATACGTTACATTTATACGGTGTATTATATCAACGAAAATGACTTCATCTAAAAAACACTCACGCCCTGTAGAATAGTCAGATTTTATTAATTGCTTTTTATTTAAATGAAGAAAACTTTCTCAGGTCGGATTATAGCCCGAATTTTCATTTTATTTTAAATAGTGCTAGAAAAATACGTTTGAAAAAGAACAAATATTGAGCATTATTCAAATGCATATTTTGGCTTCTATAGAGTTATAATTTTGAAAATCGGACCTTGAATCGGCCCAAAAAATGTTCTCTTCTTTAAAATAAAAAAAAATTAAAGAAATCCGACTATTCTATAGAGCGTGAGAGTTTTTCCTGTAAGACATGTTTTTATACTAAAAAACGGACCAAATCAGATGCCTTTAAGATAAATTGTTTGAATATAATAGGTAATGTATTGGTTAATTAACCGTACTCTCACCCATTTTTCATTTGATATACTTATTCAAATTTTGATTTTAGGAATTTTGAAGTAAGTACTAAGTCCCTACTCCCTATACTTAATATATATTTTAAGTTACTTGGTTTTTTTTAGAACTTAAAAGAGTGTGCTACAACGATACAACATGCAAACTAGTAATATACTATATATACTATACATTTTTAAATAGGCAGTTGATTTTTTTTTTTATGGTATCAATTTTAATCAAAATTAGTACGATCATAATAGTCGCCTTTAGCCTAACCACTATATAATCCAAAGCTATTACTGTGGATCGAGATCGATAAATCATCATTTAAAAAAAAAAATGTAAAAGATGCTGACCACAGGTTCTTATTTGAATAAGGACAATTTAACTAACGATTAATAAGATAGCTATAAGTATTTTAAAACATGACAATTTTAAGTGGGTACACTTAAAAATTTTAAAAATGAAATTTGAACAGATTCATTATAAAAGGAGTGCACATACTTGGTTAACCACTCTGTATATACTATGCTGTATTTTTTTAAGACTACCTATATAGTATATATATTCTGCAACATTGGCCTTTATAACTTATTTTCGTTGTACATAAATTCAGCAAAAACTAATAGGTACTAATAAGTATGTACTTTCATGCCAAACTCCACTTGATATGATACTGACGAGCCACGAGAAAATATTGATACTTATAAAATTAATATTAATATATCAATTTTATTTTAAATCTTGGTCATATGGTTATCGTTTATACGTGTAACGTAAAAGGTTATAGTAGCAATTGATTGCTGTTGAATGGCTGATTTAAACATGTCAGACTATACCATATATTAATTATATATAATATAGCATCCATAAATACAAGTTCGGGGTAAAGTTCAGGTTATCATATCCAGCGTGTATAAATCGTTATGATTAGTACAAATAAAATTCTGATAACACGTTAAAATATTGAAAAGTTCGAAACGTCTAACACTGATGCTGTGACTTAGACTTGTGAATCTGTCTTAAGTATGCAAACTTATTATGCATAATAGCGTAGCAACGATATTGAAGCAGCATATATGACTATATTTGGAAATTTGGGTTATAGAGGCTTACGGGGGTTTAGCTCGCTCTAATGATTCACAGACCTAAAAATGTTCAACTAACATTATAATATAATGTACTTATAATATATTTTATTTTAATTTATTTTTCTTTTATTGATCCTGAGCCCGGCAACTGTGGTCATTAGCTATTAGTAGGTATTGTAGCTTTGTATTGATGGTTTGTAGGTTTTTGGTACGGTAGGGGGGAACACGTGTGTGTATATTTTATTGTATTTGAATTATAGGTAGGTATCGCAATGATTTGTTGTTTTAAAATTATTTAGGAATTTGATGTTTTGGTCTATTTTTGGAGTCTATAATTTTTATCATTGGTCGACTCGTTTCATTTTAGCAATACATAAAATATATCTTACATCTTATTTTATTTTTGGTTTTAGTTTAACAATACAATTTAAAATATCAACACATCTTTTTATCCGTTTTATAATACCTACATGTAATATAATATTTTAATATTATTAAGTGTCATTTTGAGCATAGGTTTTGACTAAAAAAATACTAATCTATAATTCAATAGGGACTTTGAACTGAACAATCAATATTGTTCTTTTTTTTAATACTTTATGGCTGCTGATTATATTTGAATTCAACAACAATTAGCACGTCTCGTAGCGTGACTAAAACGTGCACTGTTATCGATCATACAATATTATATCGTGTTAGTTTATTTAAAGCTACCATCTGCAATCTACAAAAAAAATAATTTCTATTAATGGTCTAAATTATTTTACCTATAAATATACCTATAACCTTGCGTTGTGCAATATACGAACACTCGTTTATCCAAAACTAATTTTTTAATTATCGACCTGTATCGACAACTATTAGAGGTATTTGATTAAGTTGCCATTCAAATATCAAATATCATGATATTATGACTGTTTTCGGAAAATAAACAATGTTTAATTACTAACTTTCTTAATTCCTTATGACTTGTTGTTGTGTGTTAGGTTTTAGTGGTACCGAAAAAAACTATTATTATCAATTATTATGTGGTAATATAATCAATTTTATTTATTATAAACATCTTAGAGTGGGGTTCGAAGATGCCTCTAACTCCTCTCAAATTACGCTGATGATGCACCTGAATCAACTAATGGACACTAGAGGAACAGTGGAACACTCATTCAGTACCTACACTTATAAAAGGGTTAAATCATATCTTAGATCGTTCATGAACGTCAGTTGCTGAAATTCTTTGACAAGGTATATTAAATATTGAAGCACAGTCAACAACATAATTAAATTATAACTGATCGAAAAAATCAAATTTAGTTTTGATATTTATTTGTATTATCTTCGAATAAAATATATTTATATTTATATTGATATAATATTTACTACTTGATAAATAATTTATATCAATTTTCAATATTTGACATTATTGTTAAAAATATATACATATAATTTCTTAAAAAAATATTTGATAATAATTTTACATAATTTTGCACCATGTAATAGATAAATTTAAATATTAAATTGCTTTAAACAGCAGAACCGTGCAAGGGAACCGGAGGCGAGAAGAAAATGTGTAAGTACTCAACAGCAAAATCCTAAATATGCTACATTGCCTTTGCGGCAGTGTCCATCGATAATATTTATGTATACCTTGGCTAAATAATTTTTATAGTGACGAAGTTTAAACTGACTGCGTAATAAATTTAATAGTGTTGACAGTTTATTGTAAATACCAAAATCATGAAAAGACTAAACCAAAATTTGTAAACGCAAGTACAAAAAAAAATATCAAACAACAATAATTATAATTTAAATACTTAAAACAAAATAAACATACTATACCACGTAGAATTGATAACAATTAAACATTTTCACTTAGTATTTTACTGATTTTTAAAATGGTATTTTGTCTAAAATTAAATTTTAAAAATGTAAACGTTGTAATATTTATAATTTATTATTGTTTGATCAATCAGACTCCAGAAATGTTTGTGTACATTTAACTGATGATAAAAACTTAATACATACAAATTTGCTGTATTAATGAAAATTATTAATTAATTTTATAATATTTCTGAAATGTACAATATGATGTAAGTAGTATTAGACCAATTTATTTTCAAATTGCAATTTTTACTTTAAAATACTTTTAACATCAATAATTTTCTGAAAAAACTTTATATTACAATTCTATACTACTCAATTTTCGTACAATAAACTACCTATCTATGCAAAATTTGCTTTGTAATATAGATTTTTAAGGATTCACTCGTCACACTGACACTCATGACACATTCATGTTAAATATGAAATATTGGTGTTTTTAGTCACAAAATTATTGAATTACGATTGCCCTGGTAACTGTGGAGATATTTTGGTATTTTCATGTACAGGGTGATTTATTAAGAATGCACCCTTCTATAACTCTATATTTTAAAATAATTTAATTCAAATTTTGATTTTTTTAAATCCTAAGTATAAAATATAACTACATAAGGACCATATTTCAAATATTTAAATTTTTGTATCAGATAAGGGGGGTTGGTGGCGAACAAGCTTATTTTATTTAAAAAGAGAACCATTATTTTTTTAACGAAAAAGGATTTTTTTTTAATGTTAACGTGACTAAATACAAATTCGCACTTAAGTAGTTTTGAGTTATTTTACTTGGTGTAATAAAGAAATTATTATATTAAGTCTATTTCTATCATAATATCATTTTCTATTATCATTTATCATCTATTAATAATTTCTAAATAATCACAAAACTAATTATGCATTATTCGCTATTCTATAATTATAATGATGTCTATCACTAATGATAAACAAATTGATTTTTTAAATTTTAATCTCAATTCTATTAATTCTTTCAATAGTTTTGTAAGACAAAATTTGTATTAGATTTATTTCTGTGATTTTTAATTATTAGAATTAAGTTCGTGGTTGTTTACTATTTTACAAATGTTTTTTATACTACATTTAATGTGCTAAATTATAATTATTAAATAATTGGGCTCTTACCCGTAAAAAAAAAAATAAAAAAATATAACATAAATAGGTATGAACAATATTATTGGATCTATGAAGAATAAAGTAATTAATACTATTCTATGAATATTTTATAATTTTTAAGAACAGTTTGGGAACCTACAGTAATTAGGTACGGATTAACCTTAGTTTTACTAACCTAATCTAACCTTAGTACTACAAATCTGACCCAACCTTGGTTTAATAACCTAGAAACTAATCGTCCAATTATTATTTTTAGTAAATGCATCAATATTAAAAAAAATCAGCTGCTTATAATTAACTGTAAAAAAGATTGGTACTCACAAAAAACGAAGTCTGTATCGTCACAGAACTACGTATTTGAAAATAAACTGACCTCAAATATGTTATGGCATATTAGTATACTATATTATAGTATATTCATTAATACTTACAAGTTCCAACAATCAACATTTTAATGAATGCATTATGAAAGGATTGAAGGAGAAGGGTTGGCATGTTATAAGTGAATCGCACTGTATAGAGCTATATAATTTGAACAGGCTCATTTTTTCATACTACAAATCCGTATTTATTTTGTTCGATTTTCCCATCCCACATCATTAAAAAGAGAAAAATTTAGTTTTAATGAATACCTACTAAAAGTGAATCTATATATAATTATGGCTCAAATATTAATTTAAATTTTTGGATAAAATATTAAAAAACTCAAAAATGCAGGAAAAAACAAGAATCTCCATCTCCATCTCTCAAATAACACCATCACTATATTATTACATAGGTACGTTATGAAAAAAAAATTCGATTTCTTTACAACTCTTAATTTTTTTAATTTAGTGTTGAAATGATATTAAACATTTAAACACCTAATGGAGATCGGCCGTTTGAGGATTCGCCGCTATGATACACATATCGCTCGTCACTCGTCAGTCACCGAACAGATTGTTAATTATATTATAATATATTCGTAAAATGTAATATTATTATTTAATAGTTTTTGTTACAATATTTTTGATAATTGACCTCGTTCAGAAATAATCCTATATAGTCCTAATATTCGATGTGCCTACTTAGGTATATAATAAATAATCGATGACACTTCTATGACAACTCACCGATCCATGATATCTGCTCTGGCGTTATGCCGGGCACGGTGTTGTCGCCTTTAGTTTGTAATGCCCCGATGATTATCGTCGGCATCATCACATCTATACCTTGCTGGACGTTCAAGAAATACGTTGTCGTCAACACCAAACACTGTTAATAACACAATTTAACACATCAAAAATAACAATTAACATGTTATATACATGCAATGTCGTTACAGAGTATGTAATTTGTTGCTCAGCATAATTTTAATGTGGGTAATGGGTATAGTATGATTATTTATTAGGACTCGGATGTTGTCGGTTTTATTTTTTTACTACTATGTATTGCTGAGTGAATTACAAATCCATATCACTCGAGAAAGAATTTAAAGTGTACTTGTACCATCTAATTAACTTTTCTACATTTATCAAAATGGTTGATGTATTCCATGCTATCAGTTTTTGATGGTAACTTTTTTGAGGTGATGATTTAAAAAAAAAATATGTCATCTATAATGTACCTAATACCTGTATAAAGTAATTAATAATGATGATTTTACTTGTACTAATGTGGATTTTATTCCGTAACCAAAGTCCACTCCTTGTTTCATTTGTATTTTCGTTACTCTGACACTGTAAGTAATAAAATTAATAATTAATTTTAAAAAATTCACATGGACTACTTATACAACATGAATTTATGTTATTCTAAAAAGCGTATATATACAGGTGATTTCCAAGTTTACCAAAAATGTATAACACATTGACATACAAATAATTTAGTACAAAAAATAAAAATCGTCTTATGCGATGTATGAACAACCAGACACAGACAAGATGATGGTTCGCCGTCCTCGTTTTGCATACTTGCACAGGTACCCAATGTATACGTTTCAGGACACTCATTCTACGATATTCTTCCTATTATTCAAAACTTCCTTAAATATTTCAACAGGCGGCTAATGGATACAAATCAAGTATCGATGTTAACTTTTAAACATCTACTTTTAAACTGGAGAATTCAGATTTTTGTCTCATTCCCTGTTCTATTTATTCATCATTATTAGTTAGGTATTCAGTACTTGAATTCCACAAAAATGAGTTTATTTCTTTGATCAGTTTTAAATTTGATTTCATACATTCGTTGTGAGTATACCTACTACGAACACTCAATTCTGTAATTATTTATTTATTTTGACTTATTCATGGGAAACTAATCACTACGTATCATGTAACATTATAAATTATAAATTAAAATTAAATTAATCATTATTATTACTTGAATAATGTGCTTTTATTCGTTTTTTACAAACACTATTATGAAAGGAGTATTATATGGGGTACACTGTTATGTAAAACTATGTAAACCTACAAGACAACATGATAAAACTGTATATTTACTGATCAAATTTTATCATTCTAACTACTTGCGAAAACAAGAAACTGTCTACTTACAAATCATTTAGTAAAATCATTCGGTCTAAATTATTTTATCCTGTTTGGTCCGGTCGCCGGAAGTGTACAAAACCCATACAATTATTTGTTTAATTTAAAACACCGAAACATTATAATATACACATATATATGGCAATGATATTTGTTGTATACATTAATAATTTAATTTTTTTCAGCAATTTCTTGAATGAAAAAATGTAATTATAATGACTTGATATACCTACAAACCATAAACTAAATTGCTTCAAATAAATTGGTCTTCCCAATCAGCTGCTTATCATTATCCGAACAAATTATGCACAACATTTGAAAACATTTTTTTACTTATCAAAATGTAAGATCCGAAGTTATGAAAAAGCATCTAAAATGCCCGAAACAAATAAAGATATAAGAATAGTAATTCATAGATATTGAACCAAATGCATGTTTTAGTTGAACATTAAAAATTAATGTTATAATATAAAGAGACACCATAAGATGGTGAAGAGTTTGACTAAATTTTACCTGTTCATAACTTAAATTTAGTAGTAAACAATGCACCTAAATAAGTAACGGAAATGAATTTTTCGTATATATCTTACAGACAGATTGTTTTTTTCTGGAAACACGATGGAATTAAGTTTAATCCATTGGAACATTTCATTTAAAATCGTTATCAAAAAATAATTTTTCCATTTAAAGGTTCTATAGTTATTTAGATAAAATATATTATGTATATAAATTCTAGTTTTGAAACTGATAAGTATAATATTATGTATTTCAAATTTTGATATTTAAACTGTTTTTTAATGTGCCGCATGCCTACAACTAGACAACAGTTATTCATACACTTATATCATCCACATAATGATATTACTGCACACTTGTTATACTGTCGCTTAGGAACGCATCGTAATATATGGTGAATGTATTCAATCGACTACGGTTCTACAAAATATGCAAAATATATAATCGAATCAACAGGTGTCGTTTGCGATAGCTGTTATTTGGTTGTTATATTTTTGAGCCTTACGTGAACTTATACATTTTCGTTTCAAGACCTAATCCCATATCAGATTAACTATCGATAAATAAAATATGTAGGTAGATATGATTTTTGTATTCGATTTCACATTGACGCGGGGGTATGGTGTGTTAGTGATTTAAATAATTATCAGTGTTGATATAGGTACGTTACAAGGAATTTGTAGTCTTTGACTAGGAAAAAATGCTTTTTGTCTTATATATTTATGAACCTTAATCAAACAAACACTTTGCACTGGTGTACCGGTTAATAAAAGTTATTGAAAAATGCACTATGATCAAAACAAGAGTTTGTGTTGAACCAAAAAAAAAATTGAATCAATGTCGAACTATGTGTAATGGTTGTGTGTTTTATTCAACTGACGGTATGAGAAATAAGTTTTATACTATTGTACACGAAACAAAATTTAAATGTTAATTTTAAAATTCCGTACTAGTAAATTATATTATACGTGCAACATAGTCAAATATGAGGATTTTAAAAAAAAACAGTAAGTCACTCTGCTGTACAGTATAGTTGTCGAGTGCACATCGTCATTGAGTAGGTCACAGTAAACGATATGGCTATAGTTTTTCGTTAAGTCAAGGGCGTTAGTTATTTTGTAGATCTACCAAATAATTAACAGGTCAAAATAAAATATTAACTGATCCAATATGTACGGACCAAATAACTAATAACTTTAGAAAAAATCACTCGTATGACAATTAATTATTTATTACGAGTTTTTTAATTGACCAGCTACTATCAAGAACCATCAAAATGTATTAATATTTTCTTGACATTTTAACGTTTGAGTCACTGCATTGACTCAACAAACAAATTTTTATTTTGGTTTCAAATGACACATATAAAATATCTAAGACAAATTGCAACCAGAAATTAATGTTATAAAAATAAAATACGAATTCCCGTTTAAATTACGACGTAATGACGAAGCAGATATTCACTATTCGCTATTTAGTATTTAGTAACTTTTTCGAAGATTATTGTCAGCTAGTACCTACGAGATACTCGTCTTCATATTAAAATGTAAATAAATGTATAGGTTTATTTTATAAATTTAATATGAATTCCTGAAGGTTTTAATCGTGGACTGGTAAACCAATATCGAATAAACCACATCAACAAAAATACAAATTACTAAGTGTATGGGAAATAATAGATTTCATTTTCAAATAAGAAATATTTTTTTTTGAAAGTATAATAACAACGATAAACATTTTCAAATTAATGCATAAAACTGTAAAAAATTATAATAATTAATTATCTAACCGCAGCACGTAAACTCTAGTTTTTTTTAATAAATGTATGATTATATAGAATTTCTGTGTAAGCAGATAATTGCCAGTCAGTAGTCTATGAGGGCGGATCCCGTTTTGCTAAAATTATGCTATTATATGATTTCCGTTTCGCCCGGCCAAGTTTAGATAGAGAGGAACAACGGTATACAAAAATATATTTACTTAACACCCTAAAAACCCTTGTATTCTGGAATTTTGAACAAAAAATAAAGATTTTTCGTTAAAAAATTTTTTTGAAACAGCTGTTTCTAATTTATTTATAATGCAATTGCAATAATGTAATTTAATTTCAAACAAAGTAACTTACTGAGCTGGAAACTGTTATAAGGTATCGACTGGTGAATTCCAGAGAAGTGAATATTGTTCTTCGGGTTTTGTTTTCACGCGGTTATTGTGTAACGCCGCTGTGCAGTGTTCAACAAATCAAAGTTTACCATTTTATTATAACATTTTAAAACAACAAAATAATCAAAAATGTTTTACTATTAATAAGAATTACACATATTTTACATATTTCCTGAGCACACGTGCGCGATTAATAATAATTTGTACGAAATGCTACTGGATTGTGTTTCCGATATTTTACCGGTCAACGCGTCGGTCATTCAAATTATACTGCAACAGTTGTTGCGGTTCACCGCTGTAATTATAATATGTATTAAATAACTATTACTATCTAATAAGTATAATATTTGATACAGAGTATGGCACGAAGTTCCATTGATAAAGGTTTATAATGCAAACAAAAGGTCAACGCAAATGTTCGCTTCCATCCAGATAAAGTGAAAAAAGTAAACCTACCTGTACAGCAATTCTATAGTAGGGATATTAAAAATCGTGACTCATTTAATACTAATTACTTTAATACATTTTTGTAATTATAAATTGGCGATTTTTCTTTTTTGAGTTTCCACTAGGACGTACTTTGAACATTCCACGGAACCATGGATACCTTTATTATAATGATCACTAATTACCTTTGAAATTTAAGCATCAAATTGTTTCAAATCACAATAAATGCTGTTGTATCGCTCGCAAATATTTTTCAATTTCACAATAGCTTTAAGAAACTGAATTTGTAAGGGCTTGAAAAACTTGTAAATTGTAAATTATAATAACTGGAAAAAAATAGATTTTTAAAAAATTGTGGTTTTCTCAATACATATTTCAATATTATGTTTTAAAACGTTTTTATGCTGCATCATGTGATCAATTTGTTATGAAGTGATTTATTTCAATTTAATCTCCATTTTTATACTTAAACAATTATTGTACTACGCATTTCTTTTTTTGGACACATTTCGTGCTTATCTTAATAGCCTTAATAATATAGAATTTCTACTTTACCACATAATTATTTTTAGATTTTGAACGGAGTCATGAATCATGAATGTATTGATTTTACAATGATGTGTCTTTTTTGTCTAGAGACACTTTTTATAGAAAAGAAAATGATTAGATTTTCAACTACAGTAAAAAGTGAATCTAGTTGGCACTTTAAGGGGGTCAAAAATACAAAATTCTATTTCCTACTCATCACAATAATTACATATGAATTCAATGTTCTTTTTACACATTACAATAACAATTTCATCTTCTTTGTAAACATAAGTTTATTTTTTCATTATGGCTGGTAAGAATATCACAATTTAAAACAAAATGTAGTGCTTCTACCAAAGTTTATAATAAACTTGGTAAAAGTTTTTGACGTTCATAATACACCTGTAGGTCTATACATTAAAAATAGTGTGGGGTTTATCCCACAATAAATGTACAGCATTTTGTTATAGAATAAACCGATAAGGTTCGCAGTTTTTGTCCATCCACCTTTTTGGAGTCGAAATCATAAGTGTGGGGTTTTTGTATGCAACCATATAAATATTCCATAAAATATCCTTAGTAATATAGCCTAACAAAACATCTTCAAGATTTACAATTACATTCAAATTGAAACATATACATTAGAGTGACTTACTCTTATTCAAAGACGAGGTTCTACTGTGCAGCAGAGCGGTTACCTACTTTCCCCCTATTTTAATTTTGCTTTAATAGTCAACATGTAACAACTCCTATAGATATAATAAGTTTACATATATTTATCAAATTTAACTATAGATTTGCTTGAAATTATTAACTTTGGGTACATTTTTAACTTGGTCTATAAAAGTTTTAATTAGTTTTGTACTATAAAAAAACCTGCGAGTCGGGTTATTTTTCAATAGGCATTTCTTTAAAAGTTTCAAAAGTAGACAACTATTGAAACTTTTTTTATTAAGTCTATTTAACCACCAATCAGTAAACTCACCTCGTTTATAGTCATAACTCACCACTCATCATTATTAATTACAATGTTAGCTAGAGCCTAGAACAGAGATTTATGATATTATAATAATAATTGAATATTTGAATGATCTTTTTGCTATGAATTATATAAATTAAATTTGTTCACTTATTCACTTATTCACTTAATATTTATATTTTTTTATTTTTATTTATACGTAATTTTAATCTCTTCAAAAAAAATAGATTCGAATGTAAAACTATTTATAAAATAGTGTTCCACTTATGCTAGATATAAGATATCTAAATAGTCGCAAACAAGTTGACGCATTACTTTAAATGCAATTAAAATTAATAGGTATATTATATTTTATTAATATTATTGTACATAACGGATTTATTGTTCGATTGATTGTAATGTGCATTTTTATGGCAGGACGGTAGCTATTATATAAGACAATAAGACTTTGAATGGATTTTGTTATCGGTCTACCACTCCGTAATGTGATTCTAATCGTTCGAATTAATCACGATGCATTACAGCCAAGAAATTCGATCCAAATCTTAACAAGCTATAACAGCATAATAATATTATTATAATCGATTTGTTCAAGTTAATCAGATAACAATAATATAGTGTTATTTTATTGTTATTGCACTTAACTAAAATTAAATCTTTTGGCGTTGCTGTAGTTACAGTTTTCCATGATACTCCAACGATATTAATATTTTTACTCTGCCAATGCATTTTACATTTACAGACCAACCCTTATCCCTTTAGACGCTTGTCACCGGATTCATTGTATAACATAATATGATATTATAATACGTGTGCTAAATACACCTATATTTTCCAGGCTATGTTTTCTGGGGAAATAAATAATGTAACGTAACAATATAAATTCTATAAATAATAGAATATCTTGTAAGACAGAAAAAAAAACTAATCAAATTCAGAATGACGGATTGAGCATTGTCTGTATATGTACAGCGATATTTTATGAATTTGAAACCAGAAGGTTCGCACTCTATAATAGCAGTAAGTAGTAACTAGTAGGTACCTACTGAATACAGAGTGGTTTTCAAATAATAAGTTCAACTGATAATACTGTTTTAAAAATAAAAATGACGAACCAACAAATATGAGTTATTTTGTATATAGGTAGCAGCGAATTGTTGACATCGCATCTACGTAATTTGTTGTTTAATGTAAGAACATGATTTAATAATATTTTGATATCTGCTCCCTGCCTCATACGAAAAATGTTGAATAACGCAGTACTGCTAGAGTGGCCTGTTATTTTTTAATTCAAGGACTTAGGATTGGTTTGGAAAATTTAAAAAAACAAAAATAATATATAGCCCAACTAGCTCGAAGCGAGACGATTATCGCTTTCCGCTTTATTACATAAGTATTAACATAAATATAAGCTTTTAATATTATTTTAAACACCAGTGGTATTAAAACTTCACTATATACCTACGCAGAAAGACGAAATTTAAAATATAATGCTTTTCAATTTCCTCGGTAATTTCCAAATAAACCAAAAGAAACTACTGAAAAATATCTAAACGTTTATCAACTATATAATTATTAATAAATATAAGTAAATTATATCGCATCGGTAGACACTTATAAAAAATAAAACAAAATTAATATGTAAACAATGTTTAATCGAAAAAAATTACATATAGTCTTTATTGTTACATAATTACAGATTTATAATATTAATCAGTCACAGAATACACCATACACCACAGCAGTTACAATGAAAAATTTAAATTGAACAATCAGCATTTATAGTTAATTTACCATGATAGGTAAAATATGAGGCGATTGTTAATTATAAAGAATTCAGGTATCGGGATTCAGGAGTATATCTTTATACGATGCAACAAAAAGGATTCGAGGTTGCAACTTATGACCTTCCGCACCCACAAAATGTGAGATTTTTTTACAAATCCTTTTATTTTAGATAAAATTGGCATACAAAAGGTACAAAATATATGCAATGAAAATAAATAACAAATAACAATGTAAACAAATTATTGATTGTTCAAATGTATTGTATTATTTGTATTTTGATGGTTAAAAAAATGAAATGATTCAAATTTAAAATATTTAAGTAGTCAACCCTAAAAAAACTAGGTGAAAATAGCTACGCTTTCCATATATAATATATCTCTATATTTATTAAAATTAAAGTAAGCCGTATTAAAAATTGATACTATTGTAGGTACTTGGTCTCTGTTGAAAATGATTTTATTATTTTTATTTCAACTTACATAGAACGAATTTTAAATTATGAATGTCAGGGCAAACGCAGAAAAAAATTACTTGGGAGGGGGGGGAGGTTTGAAATTTTTTTTAAATATTCATAAATGTCATACTATTCGAACTGCATTATACTATTTCTCTTTTTTATAGTATATATACATATTATATATTAATTGATTATTACAATTAATGTAAATTTACAATATTATAGAACAATATCTAAACGTCTCGGTACTTTGGCCATTATATCAATGACCTCTTCACAAGTCACTTGGATTTATCAGAATCAATCGAAACTGAGGTAGTATTTTTATTTTCTGCAAAAAACTTTAGAATTAAACTCATTTTTAATTTTTGTATTTAAGTTTAATACTTTAGTATTTTGTCATAACAAATAACACGTCACAATACGTCGATACAAACTTTAGTGAATAGTACAGCGAGATATGTAGTGTATTCATTAGCGGTGTGGTTTACATTGAAAAATACAATTTCTAGAATTATCTAGATTCTAGATAATAAGGGTCGTTGCGAATTTCCAGTAGGCCATAATATAATGTCGATAGCGACGATTATTACACTTGTTGTCTACATTACGTACATCATCGAATTGGCGGCGGCCGGTGTCGATCAGTTATTTTTAACATATTCACTGCGAAACTATTCTATCATACAGTATAATGATCATTTTATTGTTTATATCAATATATAAGCCACGGGGAACTTTTAAATAACTTAAATACATTTTTTTTAATTTTTTTTTTTTTAGTACCACATATTTTGTAGATCAGATAATTTTTTTTTATTGATATTTCGAGGGGGGATAAACCCCCGATCCAACCTGTGTTCGCCCTTGAATGATGCAGCTTTTAAATAACTAAATATTTGAATACAAAAATGCAATGCAGCCAATGTAAGTTTGTAGAAAATAGTAGTAAACCAGAAAATATTATATACAATCATTTTCAACGTATTATAATTTATGAGGAACATCAAAATTATATAATTACTTTATTGCAAGTTAAACCTCTTGATTGTGTTACGTTTACGTA